AAATCTTTACGGGAGCAGACCGCCTCATCTTTCTCCCGCAGAACCGCTGGTAGTTTCGAACTGCTGACCTTGCGGCTCGCAGCCCGACTCGTACCCATAGTACCCTAGGACATTCTAATATAAGGAAATTGGACTCCATCAGCATGTGGAGGCCTTGGTTGGAGTGAACTTTTTTAATGAGATAAAATTGCTCTTATGGAGTCCTAATCCCTATGACAGTCTGGAAATAGTCTTTGAAGATGTTCTCAGTTAGATCAGCCTGAGGTCATGGAGTAGGGTGGATCCTAATCCAGTCTGAGTGGTATCCTCATAGAAGAGGAGGGGAGACCAGGGAGAGACTAAAGGAAGTTAAGCTGGCAGCTACCAGGTAACCTGGGCCTGCCAGAAGCCTTTGACGAGTACACAGCCCCGGCAACACAGCTGGCCTCCCGAACTGTGAGACATTTCTGTTCACAGTTGGGGTATTTTGTTACGGCAGTCCTAAGAAACTAAGACAATTGCTTAAATTTAAGCACCTTTATTTTTAAATACCCAAGTTCCCTCCCCAGCACACAGATGGCACATTTAGCTTACATTACAAAGATGGTTCAATCTTTCAACATTTCCACTTTCTCCCATCAAATCCATCTTTAAGGGCTATTAGTAGATTCTTCTTCTCCTGCCTTGTTTTGAGAACATATTCAATTGCTGGATTATAAATCACTTCATGTGAAACCTAGCAATTCTGATCTTTAAAATGTTGCTGAATCATATCTAGTGTGTGGGTGAAGGAAGTCAAAATTCAGAATGAAGAGCACAGCTAATGTTTTATTTTAAAATCATGGATTCCAAGGTAACTTTTGATTACTGTTTGAAACACAGAGCAGTCTTTTGTTCTTGAATCCAACGACACTACTAAGAATGTTTTAGTCTCATTATGAGTTGAGAACTGTTAGTTTTAGTAGCTGTGTGCTTTATAGTTTACAATGACCAGTTCACTAGTTACATCTGAAATCCAGTGAACCCCACCACTGGCTTCCATGTGTTCTCATCCTACCTCTTAGCACTTATCCCTGTACTCTTGTTGAAAGTAGCTTTGTGAAATTAGAGAATTAAAGGGGAAACCCCATTGTGGCTGGATTTGCACAGACATAATCTGGTACCTAGAATGGTGTGAAGACTTGCCCATTCTAAATGATCCCAACCCTGTCCCAGTCCATGTCTGCTTTCTCCTGTAGCTACAGATGGACCCTCCAAACGTGCTATATAAGTAGCACCTGGAAGGGCCCCAGGTGCTTGGGAGGTAGCTCCTCTGCCGTCCCTGAGAAGCTCATGAAGAACACTGGGGTGGGGTGGGGGTGGGGGGTCAGGAGGACAACGCACCATGGGAGGACTTGCTTCACGGTGCCCTTACTCTTGGTACAAGGAATATCATTTTTCTGTTTCCTTTCACTAGAATAAAGAAGACATTTACTTCATAGTCTTGAACAAAAAAGAAGGCTCCAGTCTGGGATTCAGTGTGGCAGGAGGGACTGATGTGGAGCCCAAATCAATCCTGGTGAGTGACGACGTCACGGCGCTGCAGAGAAGCTGGTACTTCCCTCGAGGTCTGACCAGGACCAGACACAGACTGCTGTAGTCACGTGTGCTTTTCAAAGACAAAACAAAGGGTTTCGTTCCCTATGACCAAGATAGCGTTACATCAATGCCTTCGTTGATAAAGACAAGCATCTTGATCACACAGCTGCCATGATCCATTAGGAATGACCTAGACATCAATCCATGTAAATAAAATCGTCTCGAACCGCAAGGTCAGCAGTTTGAAACTACCAGCTGTTCCGCAGGAAAAAGACAAGGCATTTTGCTCCCGTAAGGATTTAAACCCTCAGAAACCCTGTAGAGGGTCGCTATGAGTCAGAACCAACTCCACGGCACATAACAACAACCACCACCATCCATATGTTTTACCAAAACATTGTATTTAAGCACTGGGGAAAACAAACATTAGAGTTAACCAAGCTTGTGTTCACTTACAGGATTAGCTCTTTCACAGAAACACCAACTTTAGCTTCTGCATCACTCAGAGGCCTTTGAGATCATTCCGGAGGCTGATTCACGGGATTCCTTCTATCCCGGGACGGGACGGGTACATACTTGTTGTTTGGTGCCATTGAGTCGGTACTGACTTATAGTGATCCTATGCACAACAGAAGGAAACACTGCCCAGTCCTGGGCCAACCTCACAGTTGTTGCCACGCTTGAGCCCATTGATGCTGCCACTTGGCCAATCCATCTCTCTGGGGGTCTTTCTCTTTGCCTCTGACCCTCCACCTTACCAAACATGATATCCTTTTCCAGTAACTGGTCCATCCTGACAATATGTTCCCAAGTATGAGAGATGAAGTGTGGTCATCCTGGCCTCCAAGGAGCACTCTGGCTGCACTTCTTCCAACACAGATCTATTTGTTCTTTTGGCAGTCCATGGTACTTTCAGTATTCTCCTCCAACACCACAACTCAAAGGCATCAATTCTTCTACGGTCTTCCTTATTCACTGTCCAGCTTTCGCATGGGAAAAAGCTGCCTCCTTTAAAAAGTAGAGTTGACCGTGATGACGCAAATGGAGTAAAGCCCGCGTGACCTTCATTTGCTGATGGGGCACAAGTCAAAATGAAGAGAAACAGCTGTAAACATCTGTTGATCGGAACATGGAATGTACGAACTATGAATCTAAGAAAATTGGAAATTGGAAAAAAAGAAATGGAACGCATAAACATCAATATCTTAGGCATTGTTGTTGTTTTGTGCTGTGGAGTCGGTTCCGACTCATAGCGACCCTCTACAGGGTTTCTGAGGCTGTAAATTTTTACAGGAAAAGAAAGAGTCCTCTTTCTCCCGTAGAACAGCTGGTAACTTCGAACTACTGACCATGAAATTTAGCAGCTCGTAATTCGTAACCACTATGCTACCAGAGCTCCTATCTTAGGTATTAGTGAGCTGAAATGGACTAGTATTGGCCACATGGTTTACTATGCCAGAAATGACAAAGTGAAGAGGAATGGTGTTGCATTCATTGTCAAAAGGAACATATATCCAAATCAGTCATGAGGTACAATGCTGTGATAGGATAATATCCACGTGCCTACAGGGAAGACAGTTAATACCACAATTATTCAAATTTTCATACCAACCACTAAAACCAATAAGGATGAAATAGAAGAATTCTACCAACTTTTCAATCTGAAATTGATCAAACATGCAATCAAGATGTATTGATCATTATAGGTAATTGGAATGCAAAGGTTAGGAACAAAGATCAGTAGTGGCCTTGGTGATAGAAATGATGCTGGGTATATACTGTTGTTGTTGTTAAGTGCTTTTGAGTCAATGTCAACCCACAGAGACCCTGTATAGGGTTTCCAAGGAGTAGCTAGTGAGCTTGAACCGCCGACCTTGCAGTTCAAACGGCTTTGTAGTCTGGCACGTTAACCCACAGTGCCATACCAGGACTCCACTGGACACAAGCAAAACACCGTTGAAGAATAAATGTGTTCATATGCTGGCACTGACATTTGTAATCCCATCCTGCACAGTTGAATAGATTCTTTGCGTAAGCCAAGTGTTTGTATGATTTGGAATTTTTAACATTAGAAGGTCCCTCTTGCTTTTCTGGGCACTCATACATGGGTCTGATTTTTGTCCCTTTCCCAGGTACACAGGGTGTTTTCTCAGGGGGCAGCTTCTCAGGAAGGGACCGTGAACCGAGGGGATTTCCTGCTGGCAGTCAATGGCACCTCCTTGGCTGGCCTCGCCCAGAAGGATGTCCTCAAGGTCCTCCACTTGGCACAGCTGCACACAGATGCCCTTGTGGTTATCAAGAAGGGACATGACCAGTCCAGAGCCTCGACCAGGCTGGAGCCTCCCACAGCCAATGGGAAGGGTCTGCCGTCCAGAAGGAACATTGCCCTGGAGCATGGAATGGGTACGATTAACCCAACACTAGTGGGATGTGGGCAGCTGGCAGAAAAGAGGAGATTCAAGTTGAGTGTGAAGGGAAATAATTGCTGATTTCTAGGTCAAAAAAACTAAAGATTGTAAATACTGATGCTTGAGGATGCTCCTTGCAAAAGCAGTGTTACAAATTACAGATACACACCAATACACAGCAGTAGTTAGAGCAACACTGTAGAGGTTTGGAAGGGACTGCTGTAACTTTCTCTGTCTTGAGCAGGAAGCCCCTGTCAGGGCTTACAGGCCCTTGTTAGGAGGTACATGACTTGTGAGCAAAGCAAGAAACTTGTGATGCGGGGAATTGGTGTTGGAGGAGAAATTCCACAACTGCGATTTCTCCTTGGAAAGCACCCATGTTGGCACTGTTTCCTGAGTTAGAAGAGCATAAGGAAGTGAGAGGCACAAGTGTTTCTGTGTTTGAAACAGGCTGTAGCTTTGGTCAAAGTCACCAAGAAGCGGGTAGGAACATTTTCTAGGTGCCCTCCACAGCTTCTGCAAGCGCAGGATGGTGACTCCCTTCAGGGGAGCACTTCAGAGCTCCATCTGCTCAGTACTGAGGTGTCGCCGCTTCCCAGTCCAGGGAGCAGAGCAGTGCACACAGCGCCGGGCGACCCCTTTCTGCTCAACCTGGCTTCGTTGTGGCCTGAGCTCTCAGTATGGGCTGAACACACAGGTGTCTGCACATTGTCAGTGTGAGCTCAGTCTTCCTTCTGTTCTGTGGCCACTCTTAGGAAACCCCTTAGTCCTCAGGCACTGTCTGGCTCACCTCTGCCCCAACACCATCCCAACTGGTTGTTCATAAAGTCACTTGGCATTGCTAGCAGAGCTCCCAAAAGAGAAATAGGTGTGCACACAGCTGGAAGGGCAACACCCAATTTGGGAGCCCAGAACCAATACTGTAAGCACTTCCAGGTAGACGGGACATAATGGAGCCAGGAGGAACGTGGGCAGGCAGCTGGCTGAGGGGCACACGGGCCATTCTCTTCTTTACAGATGCCATTGCTGCAGGGAGCTGCACAGCTGCCCAAGAGGCCGTGTGTGTGGAAGTGCTGAAGACCACTGCTGGCTTGGGATTAAGTCTGGATGGAGGAAAGTCAACTGTGTCTGGAGATGGACCCCTGCTCATTAAGAGAGTATACAAAGGTAAGCTTCTAGAACACTCAGTCTGCTTTCTGTGACCTGTTTTGTTCTGTGTATGCGCAAAAAAGTAGCAGCGTCTTCCATTTGGAGATCAAATTTGCTTGCTCTAAACCCTTTTGAAAGCTTTGTGATACCCAGGGTGTACCCTGTTAGCTCCATTCTGAGTGCTTCCCACGTACTCACTTATGTTGTCCACAAGCCAGTCTATTAGGTAGATATTATCATCTCCATTCTACAAATGGATAAACTGAGTCACAGGACAGTAAATATGCATGTAAGGAAACAGCTATTTGTGGCAGAATCCATTGCCAAGAGAAAGAATTGTAGACCCATTAAACAGGAGCGCCCATTAAGAAGTAAAGGCTCCAGAATATTGCTTGTTAAATAAGACCAAGAGAGTATTGAAAAGGAGCAGGAAGATTGTTTTAAATTAAGAAATACACTATAAACCCATATGGAAACAGAATTTATAAAAATGAGAAAGAACAGAAGGAACCATATAAATTACTGTACAAAGATACAGAGATGAGAATACAAGGATATATTAAGTTCCAGAAAGGAAAAAAACAAAACAAAACATAGAATGAGAGAAAGAAAATATTTTTATATTTCCAGAATTAAAACAAGACAGGAGAGCCCAAAACTGAAAAAAATTCATCAGAAGCTAAAACAGCATGAATTTCATAAACCTTAATGGAGCAGAAAGGAGCTCTGGTAGCGTAGTGATTACGAATTGGGCTGCGAGCCGCAAGGTCAGCAGTTCAAAACTACCAGCAGTTCCGCGGGAGAAAGATGAGGCGGTCTGCTCCCGTAAAGATTTACAGCCTCGGAAACCCTGTGAAGGGTCGCTATGAGTCGGAACCGACTCCACGGCACTTAACAACAACAACAACAACTATGGAGCAGAAAAAAATTTCAGACTATAAAGAAAAAGAAAATCTAAAATCCTAACAGAAAATTCAGATTACTTACAAAGGCACTAAAGTCAACGAAGCAGCAGCAGCAGCCCTCATCCACCACGTATGCCAGAATAACAGAGTAACAAAGGAACAGATTAGCACATCTAGAAGACTGAGGAAAATATGTGTCTGCCTAGAGTGTCATTCAGGAGTAACAGCAAAATGCAGTCATCGTAAGACACAGTGAAGTGGGGGTGACCAAGTGGCCAGTGACAGGGTGCCTAGTAGCCTCCGCAGGCAAAGAAGCCAGAAGATCTCCTAGGCCTGATGGTGAATGGACCCAGAGGCTGAAGCTGGCTAACGCAGCTGGCTCCGGGATCCCATTGTAGTTGCAGCACAAAGTGAAGAGAGGGCCACAGGAGAGATGAGCATCTTCCATAGCTCCCTTGAGCAGGGGTGGTGTCTAGAGAGTTCTGTAGCCTTTGGCTGCAGCATCTATCCAGAAATCTATGAACACTACCGTACATGACTAGAAATGGAGGAGGCAGACATGTCTGTTCTGTGAACCAGCATTTTAGATGCTCTCGTGTGGGAGCTACAGTTTTTTCCTTGTGGAAAGGCATTCAAGTGTTTCTGGAGAGAAATGAATACTTGCTTTGTACAGGCTTAGAACGTATCCAAAGATTTCATTTTCTTGCCTCTTATTTCCTACCAATTTAATGGGTATATATTCATCTAGTTTTCTTGTGCCCTTTAGCTCAAACAGCAAAGAGAAATACAGTAAGATTGATAATACCTTGCACAGGTTTAGAACAGAAACATTTCTTTGAATAATAAAAGAACTAAATGCCTTCATTCCCTCCAGCTTTCTCAAAGGCTAAGGGTGTTACCTATGAAAAATATAAGTAAATACATATTTGTTCCCTCCTGTATGCAGTGGAATGAGTTAAGGGTTGGGCTGCTAACTACAAGGCCAATGGTTCAAACCCAGCAGCTGCTCCTCCCAAGAATGAAGAAGCTGTTTGTCCCCATAAAGAGGAATCGTTTCAGAAAACCCGAGGGAGCAATCCCACTCTGTCCTATAGGGTGTCTCTGAGTTGGAATCCACTTGCTGACAGTGGGTTTGGGGCATTTTTAGTGTGAGGAAGCAACCACCCAGTTAAGAACTAGAGCACCTTCAATAGTACAATGACTTGTTTCACAGCTTTTTAAAAGCTTCTCTATTAACCATTTTACCAAAAAAAAAAAAAAACCAGCAATACAGAAAGCTAAAAAAAACATTAATGCTATAAAGATTGGAAATATGGAACTTATGGTAAATGTCGGAAAGGTAGACGTACTACCCGGATCCTCCACAACAAAGATGCGAGAATACCAAATAAAACAGACAACAGATGAACACCCTGGATCCCTGAACTGAAGAAGAAAGAGAAGCAGCTTGGGTACTTGTTGGGAGGAGACACTGCGCAGGGATTACAAACCGATTGGTGAAAACAGCCGGCCAGATGCAGCACAACCATCCTGTGAGCGGCTTTGTCAACAGAAGGTAGCCCAGCAGAGCAGTCACACAGGAGAGGGGAAAGGTGAAATTCCTCCCTGTTCCCCCTGCTACCCAGGAATTCATTGTCACATGGTTGGGAGCCATGCCAGTGTGAGATGGGGTCCTGGTAAGTTGGATTCAGACTGACTTGGTTTAGGACCTGCAGAACCTGCAGAGAGAACAGACCAGCATTAACCAGTCACCGTGCCCCCAGCTGCCCTGTGGTCCTGACACTGAAACCAGCTCCATCAAGGGCCTCCACAAACTACTTCCGCATTGAGGTCCCTTACCACAGATAACACCAAGACTGATAAGCACTCCATCTAGGGCCAGGAACTCTGCGGCCACATCCCTCCCACACCCATCTTGTGAGAGAGATCCTTGGAGGACCCCAGCGTTGTCTCCTCTCTGGGTAGAACAGCTACAGTTGTTTGTGTTGGTTTTTTTTTGTGTGTGTGTGTTTGGTTTTTTTCCTTTTGTTGTTTCATTATTGTTGTTTTGTTATTGTTTATTCTTTTTCCTCCTCCTCCTCTTTCCATTTCCTTGAATTTTATCTTCTATCTCTGCTTTTGTGTTTCTTTTCTTGCCTCTCATTTTCCCCTCTTCCCCTTTTGATGACTCTTTACTCTCTTTCTCTCATCTTCCTTCTCCCTGCTTTTTCTAAGGTTTATTTTTGTTTGATTTTCTCATTTTTGGCTTCACTTTTCTGTCTCTCTTTTCTCTGATCCCTGCCTGTCTTCAATGCTTTCTTCTCCATTATTATCCTCTCTTTTCATTGTTGGTTGCCTGCTTATTTATTCTGTTTGCTTCCTGGTGTATGTGAGGCAGGGGCAGGGGGAGTTTCTCCTCTTTCCCACCAAGAGGAGACAACGCCATACATTTCAGCCACAACTGAACCCTCTACAGCTCTACCCACTGGGCAAGCATCAGTATACTACCTGCTCAACAAGGGACAGCAGCCAAATTAGGCAAAGCCACCCTAGACTCAGGAGCACGAACAGTGAACAGACAACAGTGTGCATGGTTTCATTCTCTACCTACACTTACAGGAGACAGTAGGTTGGTAAGAGCCTAAGAACACATCAGCATACCTGTGCTTTATTGATTACGCAAAGGCTTTCGATTGTGTGGATCATGACAAGCTATGGACAACATTGCGGAGTATGAGTATTCCAGAACACTTAATTGTGCTCAT